GTGTGTGTGTGTGTGTGTGTGAAATGCTTGAAGTGCTTGGTTCGGGTTAGAAAACGATGATTGATGGTTGAAGGATGAACGTATGAGCTGCAGACATGAACACTCTTCATGGTCTGAAAGTCGTGCTGACTCTAAAAAGCAGGCGCGACACAATAACTAACGTTTTATGACCACTTCCTGTTACACTGGCTGACGTACCTGTGCCTGAAGGTCTGAGCCTCAGGTCAAAGACGAGAACATGTGAGTGAGGAGGAGGTGAGGATGGAGGTGAGGAGGATGTGAGGACAGAGGTGAGGACGGAGGTGAGGAGGACGTGAGGAGGGGGAGGTGAGGAGGAGGTGAGGGCGGAGGTGAGGAGGAGCTGAGGAGGAGCTGAGGAGGACGTGAGGAGGAGGTGAGGAGGATGTGAGGACAGAGGTGAGGACGGAGGTGAGGATAGGGGTGAAGAGGAGGTGAGGGGGAGGTGAGGATGGAGGTGAGGAGGACGTGAGGACAGAAGTGAGGACGGAGGTGAGGACAGGGGTGAAGAGGAGGTGAGGGGGAGGTGAGGATGGAGGTGAGGAGGGGGAGGTGAGGAGGAGCTGAGGAGGGGAAGAGGAGGACGTTAGGAGGAGGCGAGGAGGAGGCGAGGAGGAGGTGAGGACGGAGGTGAAGAAACGTTCAGATTTGTGGAGATGAAACCAGCACAGTGATGTGAGCTCGTCCTTTTCTCATAGTCATAGATTTATCTGACAGCACGTGTGTGCACGTGTGTGTGTGTGTGTGCACGTGCGTGTGTGTGTGCACACGTGCACGTGTGTGTGTGCACGTGCGTGTGTGCGTGCAGGTCGAGCTGGCTGACTGTGTGTCCATGCTGGTCGGGAACAACGAGAGGATTCAGGCGATCGTCAGTCAGCTGGAGGAAACCTGCAGAGCCGTCGACGTGAGTTCACCTTCAGGTGTTTTCGCACCTTTAAGATGATTGGCTCCGCCCACAAACCACTCACCGTGATGGCCTCACTGTGTTGGCAGGAGAACGGTCGGCGACAGAAGTCGAAGGTGTGCGAGACATTCGATCACCTGTTCGCTCTACTAGAGGAGAAGAAGAGCGAGATGACGGTGAAGATCAACGCCGAGCAGGAGGAGAAGCTGGACTACATTCGAGGCCTGAGGAGGAAGTACACCGAGCACGTGGACGGCACCGCCAAGCTGCTCGAAACTGCCATCCAGACCATGGATGAGTCTGAGATGGCCCTGTTTCTGCAGGTGAACCTGAACGCACCACGTCCTGTGCAGCACTTTATGTTAGCGGCTAAAACCTTAGCATCAGGCTGCCATCTTTAAACTCGCATGTACACAAGTTCACTGTTCATTGATGTAGTTTATGGTAGTTCAATAAGGAGAGCTCACTGGAAGACCTGGGCGTGGCTTATGGAGAAATGGGGTTATTTGGTGTTGGGCTTTGAATCCCGGAGTCTCCAGGCTGGTTGGCCCAAAGAAGGCGAGCGAGAAGAAGATTGGACAACAAATTCAAATTTTATTTGTCACACACACACAACCATACACAGTGTGACATGGGGGTGAAATGCTTGTAGCTGTACAATGCCCGACCATTAAATGACAGAAGTTTTACAATATTTACAATTTACAGTTTACTACAAAATTTACAAATTAACTTAGGAATTTACAGTAAAAAATGTGCAAATAGCAGAAGAGATTATAAAGATAAGGATGATAAATTATAGGAATTATAGGATTATAGGAAATGTGTGGTGACGTGTGTGAGTCCAGTCTTATAGTGACAACAGTGATGATGTCAGCATTGAGACTGACAGCGTGGTAGAGGTAGTGAAGGCAGGAGGGTGATTACAGATCCTCCTTATTGAACTTGCACATAAGCTTCATGTCATTATGTTCTCCTACACAAACAGTTTAGCATGCCTCAATGTGTTAGCATATGCTGTTAGCATAGGGTGATAGCATGGAGCTTCAGCAGTAACACTTGTTAATGATTATTAAAGTGTGCCTTCGTTTCTCGTTTACAGATGGCCAAACCTCTGCTGCAGAAGTGAGCTTCCTCTTTGCTGTTGTTTGTTGAATCTTTGTGCTTGCTTTGTTTCTGTGTCTCTTGTTTGTTGTCTGTTTCTCATGGTTGTTTTAATAAATATTTTTGTTTGCTCTTCCTTGTTGTTACTGATGTCCGTTTTGTGCCATCAGGATCACGGAGGGCTCCGACACGTCTCACCTCGATAAGGTCCAGCACGGCTACGAGAACATGGATCACTTCACGGCAAACTTTGAGCATCAGAGGAGAGCGCTGAGCGACATCGACTTCATCAAGCGTAAACAGCGTCTTCACTTACCAATCACAGATAACTTCATGTTTTAGTAACGCCGTTTTAGTCTGTTTTAGTCTTTAAACTGTATCACTATCAATAACAGTGCGTACACACCGAGCGCGACAGACGCGACCAGAGCGTCAGGTTTACAGGTAAAGTCAATGGAGGAGTGCGATGAAGCACGACTGGAGATCCCGCGAAACTTCAGAAGCAGATTTGCGTCGGGAAAACACGCAGAAGTAAGTTTGAAGCAGAAGTAAAATATGCGCTGCAGTTTGTGTGTTGCATTTTGTGCATACGCGCTAATCGTGTCTACCACTCGAGTTGGAAAAATCTGAACTCCAGCGTCAAGTCGCGCTGCGACAACCAATCAGGAGCCCGTGATGCTCTGACCTAGTTTAAAGGGGCAGGTCCAGCCAAAGCCATTTATCAATATGGGGGAAAGGCTCATCAACGCCGTAGCCAACCACCCGGAGCTGTACGACACCAGCTGCTTTCTCTACCGAGAACTTTAATATTATTTCAAATACATTTTTGTAATAACTAATGTCTCAGTTCTACTACACAGCAAATATTGGCACACAACTTGACACATGTAGAATTTATCTCATAATAAACTACTATATAGGAACATAGTGAAGACCAATTGTTTAAGAGAATAAAGAGAGGTTAGTTTATTTTGGAGGCAAGATCCATTTATTAAGAAAATTTTTAAAAAGGCAGGAACGCTCTTTAGAGTTTTGTGGGTGGCTCAGAGCCGTTGTGGGGAAGTCGCTGGGACTTCAAATGAGCTTATATTAGCACAGGTATCAATAAAGGACTACCATGTTAAAATGGTAAATGGCCTGTATTTATATAGCTTTACTAGTCCCTAAGGACCCCAAAGTGCTTTACACATCCACCCATCCACACACTGGTGATGGCAGCTACATTGTAGCCACAGCCGCCCTGGGGCGCACTGACAGAGGCGAGGCTGCCGGACACTGGCGCCACCGGGCCCTCTGCCACCACCAGTAGGCAACGGGTGAAGTGTTTTGCCCAAGGACACAACGACCGAGACTGTCCGAGTCGGGGCTCGAACCGGCAACCTTCCGATTACAAGGCGAGCTCCCAACTCTTGAGCCATGATCGCCCTATTAAACACTTTTACTAACCTCAGGCAGATGAACAGGCGCTCTGCAGGTGGGATTGAGCGCCTGTAGTTGGTGTTTAGGTGGGCGATGCTTGGACCGCCGCGGGACAGCAGCTCCTCAAACTTGGCGAGGGAAAGACGGTGGTGCTGCTGAAAGCGGCCGTCATCCAGACGCAGCTCCTGGAGCAAATGGTGAAACTCACCAAATTGCTTACGCTTCTGGAGGACCTGATGGACCCAGGTACATTCAAGGTGCGAATGTGCACGCGACCAGCTAGGGGGTCTGGCGCTCTTTGGTCACGTCTATCGCGTAAGAGAATGCCATTGTTGCTAGCATACTGTTAATATCTACATTAAACACGGCTAATTTCTCAGACTGGAGCAGACAGTGTTTGCTTGGATTAGCTAACGTGCTAAGCCAGGGGTCGGCAACCCGCGGCTCCGGAGCCGCATGCGGCTCTTTAGTCCTTATTTTGCAGCTCCGGGTGGTTTGGGAAAATAAATTAGAAGTATTTAGCTGAAGTGTATTTTATTTGTGTTTAGTTCTTTTTAACTTGTAGTTCTAAATTGGGAGATTACTGTGATTTTGAAATATAAAAATAAAATTATATCGTATTATTTTTTCATCGCTCAAAATAAGCGTCACACTCGCGGAAGCCGGTGTACCCGCCGAAACGCTGTGCATTTATCGAGACTTTCAACCCCAGGTGGGCCAGTTATGGATCTTCGGATCCACATTATGTCAGCAGCTGTTCTCCACCGTGAACTATGTTAAAAACAAACACCGCTCACGCCTCACAGATGACAGCTTACAGTCCTGCGTGAAGATGAGCGAGGCGTGATTGCGGGTGCCGCTCAGGTGGGTCCGACTCCCACACAGCGGCACTGCAGACCACGCCCCGCCACACACATTAACCAGGTAAAATACATATTTAGGTAGAATTTTGCAAATATCCATTTTTCATTTTTAGCAGCATAGTACTTTTTTCCAGTTACTTTTTAAAAGTCAGGTCAAGGCTCCAAAAGCACAAAGGCGATATGAGGGTGACTCACAGCAGCTTTTGTCTGCTGGATCATTTTAGTTCAGCGTCTTTCCTTTGGTTATATTTCTTTAAGAGTTCAAAATGTGTTAATTACATAAATAAAAGGTAATTTTCTCTGTAGCACTTCATGGATTTCATAAGCAGCACACCTTAGTTGCTCCGTGGATTCTTTTAAAAAGCAGTTAAAAACTTTTCTTTTCAAACAAGCCTTTTGTTGTACGTATTTTATATTCTTTACATTATTTACATTTGATCTTTTACATTGTGTATAATGTCTATTGATTGTATTGTTTATTTTAATATTTGTGTGTAGCGCATAGCGACTGCCTGTCTGTGAAAAGTGCTTAATGAATAAACTTTACTTACTTAAGTTGTTCACACAAAGCATAAAGGTAAAAATAACAACATATACAGTGTTATCTTCACTTTAGATTTCAAAAAGTAGTTGCGGCTCCCAGTTTTCTTTTGCGTGGAAACCGGGTCCAAGTGGCTCTTTGGGTGTTAAAGGTTGCTGAGCCCTGTGCTAAGCCAAGCACACACAGCACAGACGATGCTATAAATGTATTTATTCATAAACCTTTTATACTTTAGCACGGTGCATGCTAACCTGCATGTGTGCTACATGCTAAATGTTAACACTGTGTTTCTCAGTTGATGAAGACGAAGATGATGATGAAGATGAGGGGGAGGTCAAAGTTCAGACGGCCGGCAGTCCTGCAGAGTCGCAGCAAGCTGCGTCTGCAGGACTGCCGGCCAATCGGCAGCCTGCTCTGTCGCCTGGTCTCTCAGCTCCACCCCCTCCGAAAGCCCCAGAGACCACGCCCCCTACATCATCGCAAACTAAGAGTGCCTCCCCTTCGACATCAAACCAGACCCCGCCTCCTCTGCCACTCCCAACTACTAGCCCCGCCCCCCAGGTATGACCTCATTGCCTTCAGTTCTGAAATTAAGCACACCCGTAGGAGACAGGTGACCTGCCTCAATAACCTTCTCCTTATTCAGTCTGACTTACAGAGCGAGGCGGAGGACAAAGACGGCCCCAAGCACGTGTTCTCCTTCAGCTGGCTCAACCAGAAGTAGGACCTGGATCTGTTCCTGTCCTCGTCATCCATGCAGCAAATACGATAAACGTTTGCTTCCAGAAGACGTTTGCTGAACGCGCTGCTTTGTAGTTTCGAGAGAAGACGTTTAATTCTGTGTTTTGTTGCTTAAAGTCTGGAATCTTTTTTCTCTTTAATTGTGAAATAAATGATTTTTTATTATTGACCTTTATTCTGCTCCTGCCTGGGATCAGTCAGCTGACACCAAACTCCAAACCAGAAATCGTTTAGCTTTACAGACGGAGATCAGCTGAGACAGGGGGAGCTGGTTTGTCTTTTTATTGAACAGGTAAAATGTCAGTTTTCAAAAACAAGCTGTTCAAACAACAAAGATTTTATTCATGAAGTTAAAACATCAGCTGTCAGTAAACGGCCGCACCGGCTGAAGTGTCGCACGCCAACATTTCAGGACGAACAGTCATGCTGGAAGTGCAAAGTCTACTTCTTCTTCACTTTCCGAGGGTATCCATGATCATGCGGTTGCTGTTGGCCTGCTGCGCAATCTGCTCCGCCCGGGCCATCTCCAGAACCTCCCTGAGCAGGTGGAAGGTCAGGTCCAGAGAGATGGGAGGCTCGTCGGACCTCTTCCCCTTCTCCCCGGCTTCCTCGTCCTGCTGCTGCTCCGCCCGGGCCTGTAAGAGGCGCTGTGTGAGCTGCAGCAGAGCCGATTTCACCGCTGAGGAAGAGGAGGAGAGGAGCTCGGAAGCACCGCTTCCTCCACCCATCCTGAGGGAGAGCTCTTGCCCCAGGTGGAGGAGCAGTGGTCGGGGAAAGAGGCGGCGGTCAGCAGGAGCGGCGGCCGGCTGGGCGTCAGCAGAGCGAGGGAGGACAGCGCCGAGCAGAGACACGAGCCACAGCAACACATTCAGCTTCATCTCAGAGGGCAGTCTGCAGGAGGAAGAGGAGAGAGCACGCTCATTCACACACCTGCAACCAACCGCATCATCGACACCGTCAGCGAGGCGGACGCCCTGAAAACGACCTGAGCAGACGAAGATGTGAGCGGGCGTCTGCTGTTACGGCACGAGTGTCAGCTGACCGTCTTTTCTCAGTTCCCAGGATGAAGGGTTTTATTTCAGGAAGTGAACCAAACAACCTAAAAGCTCGCCTGTGACAGTGACCCGGCGTCACGCGAACTGAAGACGCTTCCTGGTAACAGCCACCAGGTCGCAGACACACCTGGGGCCAGGTTAGGGCGTGGCTTCAGTACAGCTGTTTTCCTGTTTGCAATGTAAGTTCTGTTGAACTGAATCTAACCCAGGGGTGGGCAACTCCGGGCCTCGAGGGCTGGTGTCCCTGCAGGTTTTAGATGTGTCCTTGAACCAACACAGCTGATTTAAACGGCTGAATTAGCTCCTCAACGTGTCCTGAAGTTCTCCAGAGGCCTGGTAAGGAACTAATCATGTGATTCAGGTGACCCAAGGTGAGATCTAAAACCTGCAGGACACCGGCCCTCGAGGCCTGGAGTTGCCCACCCCTGATCTAACCTGTCGTGGATGCTAACTGGATATCTGGGCCGCATCAGGCAGACCCTCAGCACGCCGGTGTTGTCTTCCTCAAACACACACACACAGTTGAACTGCAGGGTGAGTGTTTGTTTCACTGTGCCATGGTCTGAACGGCTGAGGACCCTAACCGAGGTCTAAGGAGCTTGGAAAGAAAAGCGTCTGGACTCCTTTAAATTATTTAGGTGTGGGTCACAATCAGCCAGGGTTTCGGGTGAGCTCGTTGTGAAACCTGGCCCCACCCCATCATGTGATTTCCTGAGGTCAGATGGCCCAGGATGTGAGTGGGCGTTACCAGACTTAAATCTGGGACTCTCCACCACTTGACCTTAGAACTGAAGAAGCTTCTCGGAGGTGAAACGTCTTCAAGCAACTCAAAGAAGTCCAGACGCTTTTCTTTGCAAGCTCCTTAGACCACGATGACCTGGAGGACTGAGAACCTTCACAGACATACGACTCTAACCGTGGAAAGTCCAGCCTTGAAACTCTGATAAGCATGAAGCCGAATCTCAGTGCTGCTAGACTGAAAGGACAACAGGAAGCAGACTCCACGCCGACCGAGGTCTCAGAGCTTCGCCTGTCCGTCTGCAGTCTGCACCGTCGCTCCACCGACAGTCAGGATGGAGAGAGCTGCTCCGCCTCCACCTGAGTCTCGTGAGCTCAGTTTCATTCTTGCATCTTTAGCAAGGTGTGAAACACCTGGCACGGTGACTGCAGCAGCTCGGGCCTTAGCGGTCACAGGTGAATAAAGACAGACGCGTGCACGCACGAGGCTGGAAACGACTGCAGACGGATCACACCCCGCGGTCACTCGGACAGGAAGTCGAGGATAAAGCACAGAAATAAGAATTCCAATTATCGGAGGAAAGACGACTCGGGTTTCCTGCGTCTGTGCCGTGACGATGGATCTTCTTACCTGACGTGCGTTTGCGTCTCTGCGGCGTCTCTTCAGTCAAACAGAAACACTCGAGCTGTTTCTGCTTTATATCAGAGAGCGGGGGGGAGGGGCTCTGCACGCGCTCAGTGATGACGCTGATGTTGTCCAGCTACTTTCTCTGTGGTTCCAGTTCTGTTTCCTGATGAGGACAGAGGTGACCTTCATCGTCCTCCTCTTCTTCAGTCAGCATGAAGCCAAACAGCTGGAAGGATTCATAGCTGCAGTGATCAGCTGATCGATTCGTTGCATTTGTACAGAGAAATATTTCCACTGATTTCCACGTCCTGACAGGAAGTGATCCAGATGGAGGGCGGTGGTCGGTCCTGTGGCATTCCAGCTGTGGAGAGAAGAATTCAGGAGGAATGAACATGAAACACGGTTTTGTTTCTCTCTGACTGTGACAGCCGATCACTTCCTGTCGGCTGGGCGGCCTTGGCGGTGGAGGCGGCGAGCGTGAGGACAACGTGACCTTTCTCAGCCTGGCTGTGGACTCGGCGTGTGACCTTCATCTGCTGCGAGGTCTGAAAACGCTCTGACAGTTGGGACGAATTCACAGCTTTGATATTTGTGCTGCAGCAGGAGGAAGCTCAGCGAGGTGGACATCGGAGCAGCGCCGTGTCCGCTACCATTAGTGATGAGGTCCCACAGTTATTCCCAGTGAGAATGAACCATAAACGCTTTGAGGGCAGACGGCCTTTAAATAGGAGGACGACTCAAACAGAGGCGCTATCGTCTCCTCGGTCCTTTCCTCCAGAGCTCCTGGATGTTTCCTCGGGGAACTCCCAGCAGGTCGGCCGCCATGTTCACGCTCTCTGTCAGGATCCACTTACTGTATAACGAGCAGCGCGGCCTCGTCACCTGCAGGACCTGGACTCTCTGCAGGTGTCGTTCCGGTTTTGCTTCAATGGATTCTCAAGTAAACTTGTGACTCCAAAGTAAAGACAGAATAAAGCCCTGCTTCTGTTTGTTTAAAGGTCGATGTGTCTCCTCACCGTCAGGTTTACCAACAGGAAGTCCATCCCAGTGTTTATATCTCTGCCTCCTCACCTTTACGTCCTGCTGCAGTGACCTCTGACCTTTCACAAATTACAGCGGGGAAAAACTGAGATCTTTCATCTGCATCTTCATTTCAAAAACAAAGTGTTTACATGAGCAGGATGGTGATGAGGTGAAAGTCTGACCAGGAGCAGACCCGGAGACCACACCCCTGTGCAGCGTGGAGATTCAATGAGACGTGTGCAATGCAACAAAACGTAAAGAAAAGCAAAAATCCCACAGAGCTAGGAAGAGTTGAGGAGCGTCTCTAACAGAAACACGTTTTTGTCTTTAATGGACTTTAAAGCGTCCACAAACTCGGTGAAGCTGAGCGGTGCACACATGCAGCTCTGCCACAGCCTCTGAGCCTGACCTCAGAGAGATGAAGCAGTGTATCTGCTCCATCCATCCATCCATTCGCTAACCGCCGTGCCACCGTGATGCCGTGATCTGCTCCTGGGAGAAAAACTAAAGAACATTGGCTTACAGGTTACAGGAGGACCTCTGCTCGCAGCTTCTGTACAGCTGTCTGCAGAGCTGCTGGGCTCAGCGTGAACACCGGCAGTGACCAGTTTGTAGGAGAGGACATTCAGGAGGAGGGGGTTACCACCAAACCGACGTTCAAGGCCCTGAGTGAGGTGAGAGGTCGGAGAGCTTCAGGTGATGTGCAGGCTGCAGGAGCTCAGACTGTTCTGTGTGGACCATCAGCAGCAGAGATACGTTTATACTGTGGAGGCTGAACAACTGAGGGTTTTACCAGCATGAGCAGCACGTCCTTCAGCGCATGTACGCAGCAGACGAACTTCTGTGCACCTTTTTGTGTTTTTGTGCCTTTTCACTGCCTCGTCCTGCACCGACATGGCAGACGTTACAGGCTCAAACTGTCCTCATCCATGCTCTGAACTTGTAAATCAGACTGCGTAGTTGTGAGTTTTGTAACCTTGTAAACCAAAAAATCTGAAAATGTCATGTTTGTGCATCTATAGAGGAGAATTTGTGTGTTTGTAAAAGTATTTAGACACGTTACACATGTTAAGGTCTGCTTACAGATAGAAAGCAGAAAGCTACGTGTCAAACTCTGGTTCCCTGGCTGTGTGTGACTCTCAACTTACGAGTACGAATTTTGAATCAGTTCAGCTGATTGGTCAATGTCATGTCAATCACATGACAATGTTCAATTCAATTCAATTCAATTCAATTTTATTTATACAGCGCCAAATCCCAACAAAAGTCGCCTCAAGGCACTTCATAGATACAGAGAAAAACCCAACAATCATATGACCCCCTAGGAGCAAGCACTTTGGCGACAGTGGGAAGGAAAAACTCCCTTTTAACAGGAAGAAACCTCCGGCAGAACCAGGCTCAGGGAGGGGCGGGGCCATCTGCTGCGACCGGTTGGGGTGAGAGAAGGAAGACAGGATAAAGACATGCTGTGGAAGAGAGACAGAGGTTAATAACAGATATGATTCAATGCAGAGAGGTCTGTTAACACATAGTGAGTGAGAAAGGTGACTGGAAAGGAAAAACTCAATGCATCATGGGAGTCTCCTGGCAGCCTACGTCTATTGCAGCATAACTAAGGGAGGATTCAGGGTCACCTGGTCCAGCCCTAACTATATGCTTTAGCAAAAAGGAAAGTTTGAAGCCTAATCTTGAAAGTAGAGATAGTGTCTGTCTCCTGAATCCAAACTGGAAGCTGGTTCCACAGAAGAGGGGCCTGAAAACTGAAGGCTCTGCCTCCCATTCTACTTTTAAATACTCTAGGAACAACAAGTAGGCCTGCAGAGCGAGAGCGAAGTGCTCTAATGTCCAATCAGAGAACAGATGGGTTTGGCTGTGGGAGGGGCACTTTACTTGGCTTCAGGCCCTGGAAGGGTCATACAGTTTGAAGCTGTAGGATCTCTGTTGCTAGTTATTTAACCTTGGGTGGCTGTTGAAAGGATAAAGTTGTGCTACACCAGAAATACCTTTATTACCTTAGTATTACTTTAACACAAGGTCAGGGCTGACGCGGACCATCGCTGTGAGTTACCACAAACTAAGAGTGAAGCTGCGCTCTGCCGTTGATGCGCCTGCTTGTTGTTCCAAAGCACATGTCTCTCTGACTTCATATCCTCTAAATGAGTTTGTTGTATTATCTTAAAATGTTTAATAAAAACATGTATCGCTCAAGCTTTGTAACTGTCCCGAGCAGTGAAGAGTGTGTCGTTTCCAACACCGCTGCCCCCTGAGGTCCACGGAGCCGCTGGAAAGGCTCTTCAGGTCCCTGTGTAAGCACATGTGTGATTGACATGACACTGAGCGATCAGCTGAAAGCAAGAAAAATCGGGTCAAAATTTGCACTCGCAATTCGTACCTCTCCTGGAACCTCAGAAACAGAATGTCCCCACTAAGACAGGAAAACGTGTGTGTGTGTTTGTGTGTGTGTTTCTCAGAAGAGCCTCTGTGTGGCCTTTTTAATCCCCTTTAATCTGATCCAGGAACAGTTGCTATATAAATCTGATGTGACGTGTTTAGACGGACTGACCCTGAACACCTCACAGAGCACACCTGAGCTCATCTGTGTGACTCTGGTAGAGACTCTCACACTGCTGCAAACACAGAACACACCTGATCAACTAATCATCTCTCTGATCTGATGTCACGTCTCCTCCGTCAGGCTGTGGGAAAGAAAGCTTTCATGTTTCCATGGATATAAAACGTCGGCTGCATCCTTCGAAGGACGCGGCCTTCGCGGTCTACGTGGGCCGGGTCCTTCGAAGACCGAGAAGGCCGGAAGTGCAAGGCTGTGAAATTGGACGGTCTAGCCTTCAGATTAGCGTCACCGCTGTCTCGGTGGAGTTTAATAAACTCGGCCGTCTGCTCCTTGCTGTCTTTTTAGACAGGACACTGGAGTAAACTCTCGACCGTCTCACACTTCTGCTTAATCAGTTTTCTGTTTATTCAGCTGTGTGAAAATCTGGAGGAACCCACCCAGGGGATTAATAAAGTTTTATTTTATCTAATAACTTTGATCTCAGCCAAACCGATTTACTCATCAACAAACAAAACACCGTTAAAAGCCAAACAATAACATTTTTAAGTTATCTTAGTGACCACTGAACCCCCCGGTCAGCTATCAAGCTGGTGGGTAACAGACGTCTCTGAAAACCTCGGAGCACTTTTGCAAATATGTGAGTGATATCTTGATAAACCGAGCAGATATTTGATGTTTACACAGCTACATTCTCGCCTGAAAATATGTTAAAAGTTTATTTTGTGACCCAGAAAGAATAAAAAGAGTAACATTAAAAACTAACTACCTGCTGCCACTGTTGGAAACTGGAGTTTGGCTGGGCCGTGCTATGAATTCTGGGATATGGTGGGCCACGAAGGACACACCCGACCCATCCTTCAAATTCGGGGAAAAGGAGGACGCATTTGTCGGCTGCATTCAGAGGAGTCGACGAATTGGGACATCCTTCGTCGCCTGGCTGTGACGTAATCGGCCTTCAAATGCGGACTCCGGAGGATGCAGCCGACGTTTTGTTTTTTAAATTATTAAACTTTATTAAGAAACAGTATACAGAACATGTATACAATAGTGATGGTAAATTTGATTCTTTTTACTGAATCGAGTTTTAATGAGTCACTCACCAAAGTGAATTGGATTTTTTGAGTCATTTGATTCACTGAGTCAGTTGACCAGAGAGTGCAAAAAATTTACATTTTCACTCAAACTTAATTTGTTTCTCTTGTCATGTAAATCCTACTGCTAAGACGAGTGATTCTAAAAGAAAACAACTATTTTATAGAGCAAAAAAGAGCAAAAACATTTCAAAAATTAAGCAATTTCCTATCAAAATTGCTTAATAAACATTTACTTTGTTTATTTTTATTTTAATAGTATTTTCCTTAAATGTGTCAAATATATATTTTCTCATCTAAATGTCCACTGAGCTGTGAGCCAGGGGGCGGTAATGCGCCTTAACATTGGTTGCCAACCAAGAAGAAGAAGAAGCTGTGAGCCAGGAGGGAGGGGGTGAGTAGCTCAAATGTGCTGTTAGCATGTTAGCAGAGCTACTGTGAACCGAGGAGCTATTGTCTTGATGTGAGCTTCTACTCAGGGTTTTTTTCTTCCAGTTCAGAGCAGAAATCTTTTTGTTAAGATACTGGATGTTGTTTTTCTCCACAACTTTAATTATAAGCTAGATACATTGCTGCTAACAGCAACAGGGATGAGTCAGTGAGTCAGTTGGGCTTGTGAATCATGATTCATGAGTCAGTAAAGTGATTCTCGAGTATTGAACGATTCGTTCATGATTCGCGCATCACTAGTACACAACCAGAACAAAATGAACATATGCCAGGGGGTGTAATACAAAGAATTACATACATTCAATAATTTGTAATTACTACAAACAGTAATAGTTTTCACAGCCTTTTTGTTAAGTGATCCACGAATCAATTTTATGTAACATAAATCATCATTATAGTAATGTTTAAAATTAGGTTTTTGGTTACTGTATTTGCATTTGTGAAAATAAAATTTAGCTAAGATAACTAACAAGTGTATTATAAAGTAAACATCTTCTTTTTTGCCTTCGAAAGAAACAAAATACAACATTTTCCGGTTTCACAGTAAAGTCTTTGTAGAGATGTCCAGCAATGAATCTACTGAAGTCTTTCCAAAATGTTCTAGCGTATGAACAGATCCAGAAGAGGTGCTGCACAGTCTCAGGATGGCTTCCACAAAATCCACAGCTCACACTTATGTCCCTTTTGAACTTTGTCATGTAATGATTAGCAGGATAAATCAGTGTTTTAAATGAGACTTCCTTCACTTTATTCGTTACCAGATACTTGTTAGGTTTTGGGACACAGCTACAGTCTCGCAGCTGTAATGTAGACCTCAGAAACAAACCGCAGCACTGAGCATGCTCAGAAACAGACTCATTCACAGCAGTCAGATCTTTGTTTTCCCGCTCTGCCACAGATTCAGCTGCTTCACCTCTCAGAGTTTTATCATCATCATCATCATCGTCCGAGCACGGCTCTGATTGGGGCAGCGCTCGCAGAAGAAGAAGAGTCACCTGACGTGCTCGGATGCAGAGAGCCGGGGTTAACAGAGAGAGCTAATAATCAGTGTACTGACAGCCCTCCTCTTTGGGGTTTCATCGATCAGCTGACGTCCTGCATGGCACACCTGTCAGGTGTAAGATGAAGCTGCTGTTTTGTTTCACTCAAAATGACAAACAGGCAGGGGAGAGGGTAAAGGGAGACACCTGGCTAAAGGGGACCCCCACAGGTGTCAGGTGGTTTTACTCGTCAGTGCAGAGGAAGCGATTGGTGACTGGAAGCAGGCTGCTTCTGTCACCTGTTCCATTTAGGCCACGCCTCCTGTAGCAGCAAGCAGAGTTTAAAGCCGCCTCACTCTGGATTTGATTCTGTGAGCAGAGTAAGCCTTCAGAGAAGCAGATCTGTCGGTGGGCCAGTTTCTCTGACTCACCGTGTCCTGTTATAAATGTGCTGAGCTGTGTGTGTGTGTGTGAGGATTACTGCTGCAGGTATTTAAACCCACAGCCAGTGTGTGTGTGAGCAGACGACATGCAGCAGATCTACAGACACAGCAACGAACACATCGAGGTTTATACCACCGTCTTCTCCCCTCAGGGTGAGTGCAGCACACCTTCACCTCTCAGCAGACACACCTTAATACCTCGAGTCGCGCTTTGTGTCAATGCCGAGTTCAGGTGCTGATGGGCGGTGCCCTTCTCATGAATCTGATCTAAACCATCAGATTGGGTCAGACGCGCCCGTCACCACGTTCAAAGCTTCTCTAACTGCAGCGACGCCTGACGACGACAGAGATTGGTGTGTTTGCTGCTGAAGCCAGCTGTTCTTCGTGGTGGTGCTGCTTTCATGGAGCTCCAGATGTTACAGTGGGTGGTGGTGTTCAGCAGCTGGAGTGTGATGATCACGCTGTCGCTCCTGAACCCGCAGACACGGATCAGCATTGATGCTGTTTTGAGCCGAGTGCTGTCCGGAGGACGCCACGATCTCCAAACAGACTCCAGCGTCTGAACTCTTCGCTGAGTCTTCATCAGAGCGTGACGATGATGCGGTCACGGGCTCTTCATCGCTGTTTTACGCCCACAGTCTCTCACTCGCAGCTGAGCCCTCTACATCGCCTCGCTGGGCGGCAGATGGTGAACAGCTTTATTACAGTTTTCGAGGGTTTTTTGCTGATTCATTGAAACATGCCACTGACATCAAGTTTCTTAGTTCCAACATTAAAACTTTTCTGTCAACTTCAGGCTATAAATGACCTGTTTGTAGGAAAAGACCTGAAAATCTGGCGATGCTCTTATGAAGAAAAACGGAGAAACTCTCAGCAAAGAGCGACTCGTCAGCTCAGCGACAGACGGCGACCTTTGGCCTCGATGATACGATATCAGACCACCATAGTCTGCTTCAGGAAACTGAAGATTCATCATCACTCCGTGTGGAGCGAGTTAACCCGAGCGGGTTTCACAGAGTGGTCGGTCTTTGGGTTCAAATACACCCGTTCATGTGAATCCTGCGTGATAAAGATTACACTGCTGTGAAGTCCTGCCAGGTATCAGCCAATCAGAAGGTCTGAGGACAGCTGCGAGTGGATCAACAGGAAGTTGATCTTCGCAGTGAGGAAAATTTAAACGGCTCCTTCGTGAACCGTGAAGGTCTTAGATATCACCGCTCTACTTCCTGTAATGTGTCTCAGGTGTGTTTGATCCTTGAACATTCACTTCCTGCTCTAATTCAGCCTGATCCTGTTTCCCGGCATCTCCAAGCACCTGAAGGCCGCAGCGTTTCCTGGGATCAGACTCTGACCAGGATCCGTCTCGGACCGCTGAATGGAATAAAGCAGCTGGAAGTGATGCCATCTTTACACTTTTATACAAAGCTAATCTGGTGTAACAGCGGCTTGCTGAGGACGCTCGGTGACAACCATCTACCAGGTGACCGGTGAACACCTTCAGCAGCATTTTAACCGCACGCTTCGATCAGGCTCGCTTCAGAGACCGTTCCCTCGAAGGTGAACCTGACACATCTTTAGTTATAAGACTGAACACGAGGAGAGGGTAAGATATCCATGGAAAGGTGAGGTGTGAAACAGATAACTGGCAACCTGGTGGATGTTAAAAACATGACATCGGACCTTCGCCGCTTTGGACAGAACAGCGAGGAAGAGAGGCAGCAGAAAATCAGCTGTTCCTTAAATCACACAGATTCCATCTTGCAGTGTGTCTCTGATCCTTTAATCTGTCTGCACAGATCTGATCGGCTCTTATCTAAATTCCTTGTCTTAACTTGAGCATCTCTGTATGCTGGAGCCAGCTCACAGTCTCTTCTTCCTCACAGGATGCAGAAGTTTCCTCGCTTCTCATGTTTGTTTGTAAGAATCAAATGCAAAAATTCAAATGTACGTTTTTCTTTTCTCGGGTGAACTGAAAACGCACCGAACCTTCTCGTACGTCAGCTGACACCATGAATCACTATCATTACCAACCAAAGCTTTTTGTGCCCAGAAGCACTGTGTACACAAAATATGACCCACAATGTCAGTAAAACAGGAACAAACACACACACAGGAGTTTTGTGGGATCTGTATTGATGAGCTGATTGGTTGATGTGACTTCCTGTGTTTTTCAGTCTGCAGGTCGAGGACAAGGACGAGATATGTGGGAGCAGAGAAGGTAAATTCATTCATCAAACCTTTATTCTGAAAATCTGAAACTAAGAAACGCATCTTATTCTGAAAGGCATGTGAGCAGTTTACCTGTATCACTGAAAAGAGATAACAGCAGATTCTGGTCAAATTTATCAAACACGAGAACGAACCGTGAGGCGTTGGATTTCACTGATGTTGGAACAGGAAATATTCATGAAACGATCACGTTAACAAATGTTTGGTGTCTCTGCAGTACAGTGGTCTCGTTGGTTGAGGCACGTCGGGCTCCTCAGTAAGGTTTCTCAGTATTTCTTCCTGTTTCGTGTTCATGAGACGATGAACGTTTGTTAGCCTCCCGACTTCTCGGCCTTCTCACGCCCACCAGACAACAGCTGCCAGGTTACTGATCAAAGCCGATAAAAACACTCCAGTGTCGAGAAGCCAAAACACATCACAGGTGAAAGAATCAATGAAAACATGCAGAAGGTAAAATGGGCGGAGCCACCTCAGTGCCCGAGTCCAGCTCAATAACACGTTTGTCTTGATGTCAGGGTTCAGGCTCTGGCTCGGGACCAGAGAGGCTAATCAGTGTTACATCAGCACGACCTCCGACCTCTGTGTATTCACAGCCTGCTGAGCCGATTAAAGACGCACACACGCGTCCTCAGAGTGACATTCATTCATAAAAGCATCGATTTCGTTCTCTTAGACTGATTTTAAATGTGCTTTTGACAGTTTTAACTTAGTGAAAACCTTTAAAGTTCAAAGACCATTTGTTTTAAATAACCCGCACGTTGGTTAAACGCACTAATATAACCATGACATCTGCACGATATTTTTAACATTTAAACTACTTTAAAACTGAATTTGTCAGTTTAAATTTATGAAAAGCAAGAATTAAACACATCTACAGCTCATCTTCTTTTATTGGGCATTTATACTTATTATCTGCAGGATTTATGGTGCTTTTGTGATATAAAACCACCTTTTGAAATACAAAATGCTGACATGTTAACACGTTTTTAATGTTCTAAAACATGAATAAATCAGAAATTAAATTACTGGGACTTTTGAAACCTCTAAACTATGTTTTGATCATTATATTATGGTTTGAAAAGCCGAATGCACCAACAGAATGATGACGTTTAAACTAACGGCTCCTGTTTTCTGAATATTTCCATGAGTTTTTCATGAACTTTCTTTAGAGAGTAAAGTGCTGGTCAGGTTTGATCCTCTGGGGGGCGATATAGTCATAAGCACTTCTGACTGTAACTGGCAGATGGCGGTGGCGAGGATCCAGTACCGGGGCCGCTGGCCGAAGGAGCTGAACCTGAACCAGGGGGACCTGGTCCAGGTTCAGTTTAAGGAGGATGAGGCGTGGTGGTTCGGGCGGCTGAAGAACGGGGATGAGGGTTACTTCCCCGCCGCCTGTGTGGAGCTGCTGCAGGTAACGGCGCTCACCTGGCCGACTGGATTAGAAACTCCACCTCAACCAGTATGAGGTCCTTTACTTCTCTCACCCCAACCGGTCGCAGCAGATGGCCCCGCCCCTCCCTGAGCCTGGTTCTGCTGGAGGTTTCTTCCTGTTAAAAGGGAATTTTTCCTTCCCACTGTCGCCAAAGTGCTGCTCATAGGGGGTCATATGATTGTTGGGTTTTTCTCTGTATCTATGAAGCGCCTTGAGGCAACTTTTGTTGTGATTTGGCGCTATATAAATACAACTGAATTGAATTGACTCTGAAAAGCAGGTCCCTGAAAAGACCTTCCTCTGATTTAAGGCATGACTGAAGAGCAGCAACATGTTTGAGCTTTAAGCAAAAACTAAAGTGAGCGTTGTGACACGACGCGCAGCCTTAACGTGGCCAGCCTGTTTTCACCTGGTAATCCCTTTGGTACCTGGCAGCAGTAATGGAAACCACAGATTAGTTTTAAACAGGCTTCTGAGGGATTAAAGGCTTGTAGACGCTCCAGGTACACCTTTAAAAATACCTGTGCAGTTCCAACATTCATTTATCTATTGATGCAAGAAAACGTCATTTACTTCAGAGGAGAACAAAGAAGGTCTGAGTTCTTCTGGTTTCCTCTGTGCTGACAGGTGACCTGTCCAGGTGGACCTTATCTGTAGCTCTGTGACAGATGGGCTTGATAAGAGGAAGGCACACTTTTTAACCATTAAAAAAAAACTTCTTAAACTGCCAATAATTCATTAAAGGCGTTACGATATACTAACTCACATTTGAGCTGAATTTAAGGCGCTGCAACCCATCTGCTCACCTGTGTCACATCTTCACCAGATTTGGGGCGATCGTGGCTCAAGAGTTGGGAGTTCGCCTTGTAATCGGAAGGTTGCCGGTTCGAGCCCCGGCTTGGACAGTCTCGGTCATTGTGTCCTTGGGCAAGACACTTCACCTGTTGGTCAGAGGGCCCAGTGGCGCCAGTGTCCGGCAGCCTCGCCTCTGTCAGTGCGCCCCAGGGCGGCTGTGGCTACATTCACCCGTGTGTGAATCTGTGTGTGAATGGGTGGATGACAGGTTGTGTAAAGCGCTTTGGGGTCCTTAGGGACTAGAAAAGCGCTATATAAATACAGGCCATTTACCATTTAAAGGTGTTCAGGTGTTGAAATGACTTTAACCCTGAATAGCAAACATTGGTATTAAACTCTCGCTTCTGTTTGTAACCTAAAACAAACTCAGCAGCTGATTGGCTCACAGCCAACAGTGATGTAATCCTGTGTTTGTTTCACAGGGTGGAGCGTCTTCCATAGCCACGCCCACACTGCTGAGGAGAGGTTCAGTACCAGCAGTTGTATTGACCGCAGGCGCCCCCTGTGGCTGCACGAGGTAACTACAAAAACAGGTTTTACAGCAACAAAACTTTATTGAAACACTGAGCAGAGACAATCAGAGGGTTTAGCTGCTGTTTGAGGACAAACACTGAGGCTCTTTATTGTTTTAAATATTGAACCATTATTACTAAAGACTGTTTCAGAACTGCATGGATGCAGGTTACTTTCAAAGTTCAGCGTTTAAATGCAGATTATTACTAATGTGACTTCAATTTTATATCAGAAGCTTTTATTTGTTGTCCTTTTGTCTCTCTGTAGTTGATTTCTTGTGACGTGAGGTTCTCCGGTTCCAAACATACAGTTAGATTTTTATGGATTTTTGACGGGACCGATCGTCGGCGAGAACACAGAGAGAACTTTGGGGGAAACTCACTGTGTGCCGAGGGCCCAAAATAAAATAAAGCCCTCTGAATGTGAGTCGGCTGTTTTCACTGTGAAACATGCACCTGATGACTTTCTCTCCTTTCAGCGGTCGCAGCACCCCAAAGCTGCTCAGGAAGAACAGCATCCGCCGCCCGCTCGGCCTCGATGGGCCCTCAGTGGCGGCGGCAGGAACGGGAGGCTCCTCCGCGGCTCCTCAGGGGTCTCCGAGCCTCCTCCACCGAGTCCTGGCCAAATCCAGGAGGAAGAGCTGCCCGCATCTCACCCACATCCACCATCCTACCCCCGATACCGGTTCCGTGAACACCGCCTTCCAGCCGGACTAGACCCCGAGTTCACTCCTCCTGTTCCTCCTCCTCTGCACGTGACCCAGGAGTCCCAGGGGTCAGGTCCAGGTCGCTGGGAGGCCCTCTTTCATCTGCTTGAGTCTGAAGCGAGTTTCAGAGGCCGATGGAGTCACCTGTGCATCGAAAACCTCCCAGTCAGCCCCGATTGCCCGACGTCAGCCTCAGCTGGACCCCTCAGACGGGGCGGAGCCACCGTCACTGTCAGAGACGCTCACTGAGGTTTCAGAAAAAGGTCGGGACACCGGTCCAGCTTCATCGCTTTATTAAAACTGTACAGTCACTTTGTTTTTGTGTCACTTCACAAATTTGATGTTTAAAAAAAAGAAATAAAATCATTTAAAATCCATTCCAATATCAATCAATACAATCAATAAATCTATTGTGAGGGTTAAAAGAGCAAAGTGTTAAAAACATTCAGCCATGTTTCAAGCAAGAAATCAAAAGTTTTACACGTTTAAAGGAGCAGTTCATAAAATCAGCACTAAAAACTGTCTATGAGGTTAAAATCCGTTAAAATACACGTGAAGATGCCCATCATCCTCTCCTCAATCAGTCAATCAATCAATCAATCAATCAATCAAACAATCAAACAAACAAACAAACAAACAATCAGTCAGTCAAACATCACACGCTGATGAGGCCGCGCTGATGCTGAAACACTCATGATTGGAGGGCCGACTGAGACTGAGCACGCTCTGAAGTTTCAGGATGACCAGCTGGAACAAAGGAGAGAAGGAAGAGGAGTCAGACACCGAGTCAGCTGATCAGGACAAAGTAAACGGGGAACGCCTCGGCTGTCAGTCCGTCCTTCTGCTCAGCCGTCTGTCCAAGCAGCTAAAAGCACAGCTGTGAGCGAGCGAAGCCACGATGCTGCAGTCTGAGATTCAAACGTGTGTCTGTGCCTTTAAACTGCCCGTACGCATCATCAAAATATGGTCGCCACTGACTCCCGCAAACATGGAGGTGAGTTTGCGTGTGTGCACGGTAAGATGTCACGCGCACGTCACTAAGCAAAGACTTCCTGCGTGGACACAGCGACTTTGCCCCACCCTCTTCAAATCCAACAAACATGTGAGCTGCCATCATTTTAAAGATATGAATGCAAGTTTGTAGCGGTCATCAGAGGTCAACCCCCCAACACACACACACACACACACACACATTCATTTAAAGATATTAACAGCACATTTCTGCAGATGTTTAGCAGGGTCGGTGCGCCTCAGCCGGACCCCATCAGAGGCTCTGTTGGTGAGTGTCAGGTTCAGCAGGCCTCAGCTTGGACACCTTAAAATAAAAAGTATGAGTCTGTCTTTGTTGATGAAAATGTCCAAATAATTCTTTGGTCACATCGGGCGACCTCCAGAAACTTGCATTCATATCTTTAAAATGACGGCAGCACAAGCGTTTGTTGGATTTGAAGAGGGCGGGCGGGGTAAGGTCAACGAGGCGACCTTACCGCAGACACCACGCGACGAGCTCAGAGACAACCTGCCGCTAGAAGCTCTGTGTTTCCCACAGAGACGGCGGTCAATGAACGCAGCAGTCCTGTCAGCGTGCATCACTGAGCGTTACCATGGAAGCAGCCATGCTGAAATGCCTTTGGGCCCCCGGTACAAAAGTCACTGTGACATCAGCGCGTTCACAGGTGCAGGTGGAGGCAGTCGATGGTTGACTGAGCGAGCCGGCCAGTCGCAGCAGAGGAAACATGTTCTACAGGAAACACAGCGATGGCGTTGCTCCACCATGGCTCCGTTTCCTGTTTCTGCTCCATCACTGGGCTGAGCTGCTGCTGAGGAGGAGGAGGAGCAGACGTACCAGCATGAAGGTCACGGCTCCATGAAGAGGCGCGCCTGCTCCGTCACAATCATCTGATCCTCTGTTTGCCCGAACAGCACCACCTGCAGCTCACCGCTCAGCTGCACACACGCACACACACGCACAGGCACACACCTGCGGCCACACACACACACACACACACACACACACACACACACACACCTTAATCCTGTGACCTGCTGTGACCTGTTGGGATGCTGGGTTCAGGTTGTTACCTCAAAGGGGTGGGTGGGGCACTCAGGTGAGTCCAGGTAGCCCACCTGGCTCCACCACACGTCCAACCCTGACTTTGAGAGGGGGCTGTCGAGGGAGAAGCCACACTCTGCCTGGACTTGCTGCTGCTGAGCTGAGGTGGGGTCAACCTGCACGTCCAGGATGGAGGTCAGCAGACTCTCGCCCTGAACCTGGAAGTCAGAGGTCGGAGGTCAGACCCGTGCAGCCCTGCGGCGTGACCACAGCCTGCTGTGTGTGCGTCTGTGTCACGAGCATCATGTTAGCGCAGCAGATTAAAACGGATTTAAACAATGTCGTTGCTAGGCAACCCGGCATGCCACAGCAACCGAAGTGACATCGTGTGCGAGGTCGCCCTCGGTGATCCCATGTTCACGCAGTTAGCACAGTCAGAGCGGCGATTCGACCGCCGATGTCTCCCTGTTCCCTGAGTGACCTTTAACCTGTCCACAGCACGACATGTTAGTGAGGAGCGTCTGACCTCGGAGCTGCTGCCCGACTGCTGACTGTCAGGATCCACGCTCCGGTCCTCCCACATCAGAGTCATCGTCAGACTGGAAGACACAGAGACCTGAGGGACACGGACGGCAGCTGATTATCGACTACGTGCTAATTACTGAGCCTGATGATTCATACTGAGCACGGCTCACCTCGCCCGGGCTCGCACTGATCTTCAGAGGAGTGGGTGTTTGAGGAGCAGATGTCAGCGACACTCTGACCTTCTCTCGGATCTCTGGGGGCGTCCTGAACACAGCAGCCCGCCTCAGTTCACTCATCAATACTGACATTGAACTGTGGTGTGCTCAGAGAGAGTGAGGTGGTGGGCGTACTGCGTGCTGGAGCTGCACTGTGGGCAGGCCTCCTCCTGATGGACGGGGTGTTGGAGGGCGCAGACGGGGGTGGAGGTGAGAGGTGGACACTGCAGCTTCAGCTTGTCAGCAGCGCACAGACTGAAGAACTAAACGAGAGAAGACATCAGAGCTGCAGAGCGAGCACGCCCTCTCCGCACATGCCCGCTCGGCCCACGCCCTCTCCGCACATGCCTGCTCCGCCCACGCCCTCTCCGCACATGCCTGCTCCGCCCACGCCCGCTCCGCCCACGCCCTCTCCGCACATGCCCGCTCCGCCCACGCCCTCTCCGCGCATGCCCGCTCCGCCCACGCCTGCTCGACTCACTTCTGAGGGAGAGAAGTTCAGAGCTCCCATCTGGCTGCTTCTGCTCCACGAGGGCGATGAGCAGTCGTCCTCGCCGTCCAGCTCCTGCTCTTTCATACCTGCAACCTGCACACAAACACCGGCTTTCACCTAAAGCGGCACGCCGCCCTCTGCCGGCTCGACCCGCAGCTGAAGTTCGGCTGCTACGCCAAGGTCAGTGAGGGCGCCGAGCGGCACGGTTACACCTGCCAGGTGTTAGCTCGTGCTGCCGATTCTGCTTTCTGTTAATATTTGATTCTAGAATAAACCCCGCCTTCTTCACTGTGAGGTCAGCAGGTGTTCGCTCTTACGCTGCTCTCCTTCAGGCCCATGGCGGAGAGGTGGCCGTCGTTTCTGTGCGGGCAGACGGGCAGCAGTGCTGGGGGCTGTTTCAGGGATGATGTCACTTCCTTTGAGTCGTGGCTCCATGTCTCCAGGCTCTACGATTAAAAAGTCAGGTTAGAGGTGGAGCAGAGGTGAGAACAGCGAGCCGTCAGCGAGTCTGACAGTCAGACGGTTACCGCCTCCATCAGGTCCACGGACGCTACCGGTCTGCTCGTGCTCAGAGATCTGGGGGAGGAGGAGCACAGGTGGGCGGAGCTCCCGTGGCGCATGCACACGCTTTGACTGCCGGAGGCGCAGCTGGACTCGTCCTTTGAGGTAGAGAGACTGTCAGCCTGCAGGACGACATGTCAGCATTACTACCAGCACGCCACTGACCTCTGACCTCACAGACAGTGCCGGGCAGGTGGTGACCTTTGCAGGGATGCTGCAGGGGAGGCCGCAGCTCTTGGATGCCGGTGCCGAGGTGGAGGCGACGTAGGAGCTGTGGAGGCGCAGGACCTGCAGGTATCCCTCCTTCTCCACTTTTCTCTTCAGGGTGGAGTTCCAGTGGTTCTTGATGGAGTTGTCCGTCCTGAGAACACAGAGAGGTCAGCGGGTAACCACACACGAGCACCGCCCACCCGCCCCCACCGGTTCCCGTGCCTGCCGGGCAGCAGCTTGGAGATGTCGGCCCAGCGGTTTCCCAGCAGCCTGTGCGCCTGGCAGATGACGCGGTCCTCGTCCAGCGTCCAGCTGGTCTTCTTCACTGTCGGGTTTAGGTGGTTGTGCCAGCGCTCGCGGCACTGCTTCCCATTCCGGGTGTGCAGGTGTTTGGCGACCAGCGACCAGCGTTTCACGCCGTACTTCTGCACCAGCTCTCTGACCTGCACAGGAAGTGACATCGGAGCATGAGCGATGACGGATGCGACGAGGGTCTGACTCTAAGGGGGGCTCATGTGACGGTCTTCACCCTGTGATCCTCCTCCTTCGTCCACGGACCTTTGACCAGGTCTGGATTCTTTATCTGCTGCCACCGCCGCTGACACTCCACCGGTGACCTTTGACCCTGAGGCAGACACAGAAGGTGGCGTATGTTCAAACTGCAGAGCCACGAGGCGCTTCCTCACCTTCACTGTAACGGTCTGTGAACTACTCTCTCACCCTGGTCACGGCTGTGGTCACAGGTCGTTTAACCTGAGTGACCCTGAAATCAAACTACTCACTCTGAAATGAAGGGAAACTGAAGACCAGCAGTTTGCTCCGAGGTCGTTCACCAGCCGCTGCAGCTTCTCGTCCTGAGGAGGGAGAGCAGTAGCTCGGTAACGCCTCCACACTGGGCCATATCATACCGTTCACAGTAACACTGGTGTAATGTTGGGCAACGATAGGAAAATGAAATATGGCGATAGAATATGGGTAAAACGCGCATGCGCAGTGCCTTTGTTTTCATACGCACATGGAGGCGACGCAGAACGAGAAGGGCGAAAGCGGATCGTTGAATGAAACGATGAACCAGAACTGGTTTGTAAAAATGCTGCAGCTTCACTGGTGTGGAACTGGTTTAGCTTTCGACTCTCAGACACACAACAAAGCACTCTTTTTGGTAGCGCATGCTAGCGGGCCGTCGTTATTACCGTGTTGTTTGGAAAATACGGCGCACTTAAAATCATCCTTTGATTTTTCTGAAAGTCGACAGAGCCCCTTATAATCCCGTGTCCTTATGTATGAACTCTGGTTGTGTTTACTGACCTCGAAACGATTTTATGTGCACGGCGCTGCGACTTTGCTAAGCTACGAAGCCGCACCGCTTGATGGATTGTGGGAGCATTACGGCTATCGTAGGCGGAGCCTCGCGGAGTGATACGTGCTGTGCTTCAACATACTGTTACCGTATTGTGTGTGTATGACCTCTTTTTAAGTGTTGTGGATGTTATACATGGTTATGCTGAGGATGCGTCGGCCAGTTTCCACTGGAAATGCTTTTTGGTTAAACTGTCAGCGAGGAGTTTGCACTGTTACATTTTTATATAACGTTAATGCAGATAAAACAGCTGCTTGTTGAAGTGAAAATACATTATTAGTGCAAAAACCCATCAAAGTTGTGGAGTTGTAAAGCATTTTGTCGTGTCAATTATATCGTTATTGCAAATTTTCAAATGTATATCGTGATAAATATTTTTGGTCATATCGCCCTGCCCTACATCCGAGCATGCTCAGTCAAAGTGTGCGACGTCGGTCTGAGCCAATCGGCTGCACCGTTGCGTTTGATAAACAATGACCAAAGCCCGAGCTTTCACAGATCACCCGCTAACACGCGTGTGAAGTTAAAGCTGGATATACACCAGGACAAGTCAAACACGTGGAAGCGGGACATCAAACCCCGAGTCAGCTGTGAGCGCGAGCAGAGAAGCTTCACCGTGGCAACGGGTAAATAAAGAGCAGAGCCTCCACTTTAATCACATGACGGCGTGTCAGTGCTGACCGTCATGATCGTCTTTAACGGGACAAAACATTTGATCATTTTGGGCCACTGATCGATTTTGGTACAGGCACAGTTTACTGATGGTTATCAGTTGCCCGTAGCAACAGACTGGATCTGCCCTCCAGTCGGGTTTTTATAAGAAAGATGCGGTTTATGACCATTTCATTTTGTCTAGCTTCTCTGCTTAGGCTGGTGCCTGACATTCACCAAGAGGGTGGAGAGCCCCACGTACCCGGGACTCTCCACCCTTTGGTTGTAGATCCAGATGCGATGAGGAGTCCGAGACAACAGCGAGCAGCTTAGGTCACACAGTCTGTTACCATGGTAACACCCACCCACCGCTTCATCTTAGAGTTGTTAGCTAACCCTGTTTCCTGGAGTACGTCCCCCAGTTTGACTCAGAGCTTTAGATTCCTGTGCCTTCATAATAAAAGTGTGCAGCTGGAGGGCTTTTACTGTGAAAGAACACAGGATGTGCACAGAGTGTTGCATCGTGTGTTACCTCGTCTTTTGTCCAGGTAGGCTTCTGTAGAGCGGCTCTGGAGAATCGACCCCCCGGGCCGTTACGTGCCCAACAGCTGGAACGACCCTTCATACTGACACAGAACACACACGCAGCCAATCAGCACGCAGCTCTCTGCATAACACTTCAAGTCATTTAAAATCAGTAAACTTCTCTACAGTGTGACCTGCTGCCCCCTGCTGGTGGGAACTGGGGACAGGCAATGACAAATGTACCAAAATAAAAGCAGCTGCAATGTCAGGTGTAAGAGCCCACTGGACACAGGAAGTGTTTTAAATAGACAGAGGTGAGGTCAGACGCCAGTGGGGACAGAACGCACTGTGGCCGATGAAGGGGGCGGGGCCGCACCTGGAAGCGTCAAGCCGATAAAACGCATCACGGTGACATCACATCAGACACAGACACGAAATCTGCGCATGCTCGCCAGGACACCTGCTCAACTGCTCCTCAGCGCAAATATAGAAAGCCAATCACAGGGCAGCAGCTTAGGGATGAAGAGGAGCTGCCGAGGCTTAAACTGAGCACCAGAGTGATGAAGAAGAGTGACGTCAGCTAACGTGGCAGAGGTCAGAGGTCAGAGGAGTCTGATTCTCTGACCTGACCCTGCAGGAGCAGAACCAGGTCTGCCCCCTACACAGGCGACACAGGAGTGCTGTTCAGTTATCGATCGTTTGATGGGACGATCGATATCTGTGGAAACAGCCAGTGTGTGTGTGTGTGTGTGTGTGTTTCTGTGTGTGTGTGTGTGTTTCTGTGTTTCTGTGTGTGTGTGTCGTGTTCTGTGTGTGTGTGTGTGTGTGTGTACTCTCACCAGCACCTGCTGCTCCTGCTGCTCATCTCTGCTGCTCAGAGGGAAACACAAACACCTGCGCACACACACACACACACACACACACACACACACACACACACACACACAGTTTCATTTCAGATACAGTAACAAAAGACAAGTTAATGCTAGTAAATCTCCACCTCAGTATTCAGTCTTTAATATTTGTGAACTTCATTAATTCTAATAAGACTCGATTCTTCTCGGTGTTAACGGTTCACTTTTCTGTCTTTTTCTATTTTTAATGTCAATGTCTTTTTTTAATTAAATTAAAAAGAGACTGTAGTTTGATGGTTTTCCTTTGAATACCTGCAGACTGATGTGTTCAAACGCTTTCAGCGCTGCCTGTTGACTGTTCCCTTAAATGATTCAGAGCTCTCTCCCACAGATTTCCTCAGACTTGAATTAGCAGATTTTAATTAAAATTCATTTAAAATTAGACTCTTTCAAAGTAAAAGCCTCACGGGGCTGGCCGTTGGTGGCGGTTAGGCTAGCAGCGTTAGCAATGGGCTAACCCGAGAGCCGCGGGATGGAGACTTCAAACCGCGTTAAAGTGTCAGAGAAACTTTAACTTTAACTCGGTGCCTCTCTGGGCCCTCTGTCCCGTACAGTAGCGGGCCAGTCTGAGACGGTTTTCCCTTTAACTAGTCAAAAAAACAAAACAAAACGTTTTTCTGTTAACTTACCGGCAACAATTGGAAGGAGAATCACGTGAGAGTCCTGGAAGTCTCGTTCTGTGATTGGGGAGGCCTCGATGACGTAATATCGCGGTTTAATTTTTTTTAATGTACCCCTTGTTCCTCTCTCCTGCATGCAAATGCATTCATTTTTAATTTTATTTTGTTGTCCTTTTTCTTCATTTCACGTATTTATTTTTGCTGGTTTTTTGTTTTCTCTGTGATCCGTCTGTTTTATTATTTTCTTGTACGGATACAGTCAGAATTACAACAATCAGCATGATAACAACAAGCTGAAATTTAAATATTACCAATGAAGTGAAATCTCCAAACTGAATCTAACTCATTTTGAAATGTAATCTGGTTTCTTTTGTTTTGTTGTCCCGCTGACCTGTTCAAGGTTTGTTTTTTTTACATGATGCCCATCTTCACTCTGACCACGCCTCTCTACAGGTGGATGCTGGATGTCATTAAAGGTGAAGATGACAGCTCAGTTATATCTCTAACAGCAACAAGAGGATCCTTCATTAGAGACAGAAACTTTCACCTGACACCTGAGAGATTACAGGGGCTGTGTCCCTGAGACTGCACGCTTGAAGTACGCATTCCAGTTCAGTTTGTACAGTAGACATACAAGGCAAATAAGAGTAACAATATACAGTACGATGAAATAAGAAGCATAAATAAATACAGGATAAAAAAAGAAAAAAGGTGGGGAATGTGACAGACTTCATAACAACTTTGTACTTGAAAGTTGTGACAGCTCAGTCGTTAAACATTTCTGAATGAATTTCAATCAATGATAAACCTTTTTTATTGGAAGTTAATTTAAGAGAGTTTAAGTAATATTCAATTTCAATCAAAAACAAATTAAATGATGGGGTTGAGTTTTGAAATTTACATTTATGTATACGCGTAGTGCGCGTACTTCAAGCGTGCAGACCCTGAATTGGGACACACCCAGGGAGTCTGATAAAGGCATATCCACCCTGAGCCTAACTTCACCTTTGACCCCACAGGTGTATTTTGCTTTCCCAGGACTGTAAATTTGTGTCAGAGGTGTCTTTGGCTAGGTCTGAATATCTGAAGTAGCTTTTCAGATTCACAAACTGTGAAGTTCTTATTCATCTATAAAACATCAAAAACTGCTCCTTGTGCTAGCTACAGCTAGCTGTTTATTTTCCAGACCTCCCGTTTACATTCCTGGGCGCCCCCTGTGGGTAGCTTCTTTAATAGCGACTATCATTACACAAACCCCTGCTGGTTCTTTTGTTGTGTCTCTTTGTATAATGACAACAATTCAACAAAACTGAGTCCGATTGAACTAAAGATAGTTGCTGCTAGCGACACTCTGAGGTCATTCACATGCTTCAGCACATCCGTGATGGCAGCAACGGAGGTTTTATTCTTGTTTATGTAGTTTAAAAACGACTTTTTCCGTTTACAGCCTTCAGAAAATGGTAGCCCAATTTGGAACAATAGATATATACTGATGAACAGAAAATCTATTTTTATTCAAGATTGGTTATCAAAAGGTGTTTGGGCAATTGTCCATTTTGTAGATGAGGAAGGACATGTTCTAGGACATCAAGATTTTTGCCAAAAGTTTAATATCCAATGTTCTAAAAGTAAATTTAATTGGGTTATAAAATCCATTCCATTGTCACTTAAAAACATAGTTGTAAATGATATAATATATTCTGACATCTCCCCCAAGTTAAGGCAATTATATATAGATGGTATTCGATTTTGTGATGTTAAATGCAACAATAAGTTTCTTGGATCTTCATTAAGGAGTCTTTATTCTCCAAATTTACTTAGACGTAATTACATATTAAAAGATTTCCAAAGGGAAGAAATTGAAAGAATAAGAACTGATTATATCACCTTCCCTATCCCTCCTAAAGGGAAAGAAGTCCAATTTAAAATCTTGAATAAAATTTACCCGACAAATAGACTCCTTGGTGCTAGATTCAAAATAGAAACGGGTAATTGTGTATTTTGTGAAACAGAAGAGGAGGATTTGGACCATCTATTCTTTTTGTGCAATTTTATACAAATATTTTGGTTGGATTTTCATACCTGGCTTTATTCCAGTGGGATTCAAATTACCCCATTTACCTTAAATATGATCATGTTTGTAGTGTTTTTGAAAGAAAAGAAAGCTAATTATGGTGTTAATGTGTTATTAATCCTGTGCAAGCAGTTTATACATAAATGTCGTTTTTTTAAGACCAAACCAACACTAGCTTACTGGAAAAACGACTTAAACCTGTTGGTTAAATCTTTGACCTTAGTTCAAAAGAAAAAGGCTGCTTTTTTGTTTCCTTTGTGGAAGATTTTTATTTAGTGAGTTAATAATCTGTTAAATTATGTGACCCCATCTTTATATTTTCTTTTTACTATGTATGAAAGTTGCTAATATGTAAGGAATGTTTATTCTCTGAATCTGTAATATATGGTGCATTTTGTTTGTATGTTAATATTACTAATAAAAAAAAGCGTTCAGAAAATGGCCGAAGGTAAAACTCAGTATCCCAGAATCCTTTGCGCGTTACGAAAATTTCCCGGCATGCCGTTCAGCAGAAGCCGAGAAGAAGACGGAGCGTCATGATGGAGTCTGGTGGAGGTTGAAGCAAGCAAACGTGCTTCGATCCGAACTGAGTGCAGTCCGAGACGCTCGTGCTCCTGAGGAGAACCACTTCACGAAGCCCCGCGGCGCTCCTTGAGCGCGCGCTAGTTACCTACCTACCTGCTACGGAGACTGCCGGTGAGTTCATGAGCGCAGTGGCGCCTTGTTGTTCCGCTCCGAGCCGCCATTTAACCCCGTCCTGCAGGCGTCCGCGCGCACCTGGCACACCTGCGCGGGCTAGGCTCACCTCACCGTCTTAATCCCACCTGTATCCGCGCCGAGGCTCACGAGTCCCACGGAGCGTTTTCCCGGAGGCGCGTGCTAACGGTTAGCACCCGCTAGCACTATTAGCCGAGTTAGCCGCGTTAGCCCAGCTGCAGCCGGAACCGCTGTGTTTAAATCCGGGATACCCCCACCCCGAGCCTGCGGCGGGTTTTCACCGCAGGTCAGCGTCAGGTGTTCTGTGAGGTGTCCGCGTTTCTCAGGTGGTTTCGGTGGCTGGCTCTCACTGCAGGAGTCAGTGTGTGCCGACACGTGATACCATCAGCTCCTCCACACTGCGATCGCTTCACAGCGTTCATGGTTAGTAAAGTTTATTTAAACCGCGTTTCTCCTGAACATTTGCAGCTGCTCCTCAAAGTCCACAGCCTGCGGGTAGGATGATGACTCGGGCTGAAATCACTACAGTGTTCGGCTCCTCCACGGCAGGCAGGAGCGGGTTACCTGTCAGGTGTACTGTTCAGGTTCCTTCATGTAGCAGCAGAAAGGCCAGTTGTAAATGCAGATAAAAACAGGTCAGTGAGAGTGCATATGCTCACCTGCTGTGTAAACATGCGTCTGATTCATTTATAAATATTAAATGAACTACCTGCATATACAGTCAGCATTGTTTGCTCTAACTTTTAAAGTTACAATAGTGGACTACAGATGGCGTAGAGTAGCTGTGAGGGTGGTGCAGGAGGCTCTGTGGACTGGTGTGTTTGAGATCTGTGGGGAGAGTACGTGTTACAGGCAGGAGCAGACCTCAGAGGAGCTTCATGGATGTAGTGAAGGAGGACGTGCAGAGGGTTGGTGTGATGGAGGAGGACGCTGAGATAGGAGGAGATGGAGGCAGATGATCTGTTGTGGAGAAGCCGAGGGGAGCAGTTGGATGATGATGATCTGTGACTCCAGGATATCTCCATTATTTTACAGCACAGTTTAGTCTTAGAACCTGGGACTGATGTGCTTACAGAGGGATCAAAGCCTGCATCCAGCCTGGCCAACGTCCGGCTCTTATCACAGTTGGACTGTTTTGGCCTCCAGCAGGTATGAGAATGAGACGAGGAGTCAGCAGGACTGATTCATTCACAGCACAGAGAATGATGTGATTGGCTGTGGATGAGCAGGTTCAACTGAGGGGGACAAACACTTTGGCTGCGTCCACACTGGTGCCAACATGAGTGCAAATTTGACAGTGGTGACCTTTGAAATCACTGCTGTTGGTGCGAAGTGGGCGGGTCATGAAAAACTCATGGGACAGAAGCAACTACCAATGAGAGCACAGGATACTGCTGATAAAAACGTTAGACCGTAACCTAGGCAACCGAAGTCTGGGGTTTTCTGGAAGCTGCCGTCTGTCATTCGCAGCGAGCGAGCGATCCCGGTCCGAGGGCTTCTGAGAGCTTCGCAGCTGGATGAGGCCGAATGCTCCGGGGAGTTTTCCTGGGATTCTGTGACCTTAGTTTCCCTGAACTTCCTGTCTCCTGTGAGCATTTCAGCAGGTCTGCTTTGACTGTGGCACGCGCAGCTTGGCAGGGGTTAACGGTCTTCTTCTGTGTTTTTGAGTCTGGGCGCTAGCCTTACTGTGACGTCTGTTTGTTAAAATGTTAATGTGGCGCTGGTGTGATCGTACAGATGGCTCAGAGGCTGCCATAAAGACGTGGACGTGAGGCACGCTGCAGGCACGCTGTGATGCTGTTACTGCTGCAGTCTGGTGACATGTGAGGACGTCAGGTGAACATGTCTGTATGTGGCCTGTCTGTCAGACTGCGGGTGGGCGTCACTCTGAGGTTAGCTGAATGTGGGCCAGTTCAAACACCTGACCCTCCCACCAGACCTTCGCAGGTGTTGCACGTCTGACAGGAACTATGACGCGTTGGCGCCCTGCTGTTGTTGCTGCTGTAATAAGCACAGTTCAGGGGTCGGGGCTGAGGTTTGAGCTGTGGTCCACGTTCACTGGTGTTTCACACGATTACTGGAGAAACTGAGGCAGGTTGTTTTTGTTCATGTCTAAAATAATGAAGTTTATGTTGGTGACATCACCTGGTAACAGCACGAAGACGTGTCTTAATCCAGGACAGACATAGATTAAGACCTCGCGGCTCCCGCGCCGGCGCTCGCGGTGTCCTGCGTTTGTCTGTTTTGAAGGTTAAATTCAGTTGGTTTTTTTTGCTGTAAAATTCTTTTTGAAGCTCATTTTTTGTTTCGTTCTCACGCGCCCCTCCAACTTTTGAAAAGCTGGTCCCGGTGACTCTTATTTGACTCCGTCTGCAGGTTAACCGGTCGCCATGGCGACGGACGTGGGCTCACCGCAGCGCTTCTTCCATATGCCGCGTTTCCAGCACCAGGCGCCGCGGCAGGTGTTCTACAAGA